CAAACAATCGCTATGGTCAAAGACTATGCCTATAGAAGCGTGGCGTATAAATATGAGTAATCATGCTTTGAATAGGAATGACGGTGCCTATTTGCTAGAGGAATACACGCATATCATTTGGCAGGTGACGTCATTCCTTGGGTATTTAAGAAGCCACGATTGCAACTTTAGATCACCCCTGATGAAGACACCAGACTGGAGTGACAAAACGTTGGGTCTTGATTACAATTCGATTGGGCTTTGTAATCATTTATTTAAACCAGAGTAGCGAGCGAAACATGATTGATATACCTGGTTGCAGTGAACGAACAAACTTTAAAACTGTTGGAAAGTTTGCTTTGAATTTTGGGTTAACTTATAGATTTAAGCTAACCAGTTTTTGAACAACTGTGTGTCCATTTTGTGCAATGTGTAATAAATAATTGCGTTTGTAATTTGCCGACTCCGCCCACCAACATTTTGTGGATTTGATTTTCATATAGTAGAAATGTACGAGAACTAATAATTTATCTCTCCCATTCTTCTGTTTCCTTCAAGTTGTTACTTGCGCGTCTGGTAATTATAAAAGGTTATATTGCATGTATATTAATTAAAAAAGTTTATATATCTTATCAATAAACAAATTATTTTATTATGTCTTTTAATGGCAGGATATTAGGTTGCGTGTTCAAACTACAGTTGCAAACAGATTGAATGCTTATTGTCGCAACAATTCTGGGGCTGCAATTTGTCCCACTAATGGGTATGTTTGTGCAAAGTCTTATTATAAATTTTATATTAATGCCCAGCCGGCTCGTTAGCGCCGTTCCGGGCGATACCCTGGGACGAAGATACTAGTTTTTCTCCCCCGAGTATATGAAGATATACGTGTATTTGCGCCCGGATATATGAAGGTACTATTTCAGAAGAACGGAAATACAGCATTATTTTTCAAATATCAAAATTTGTTCATCTTAGAAAGCTGTAGTCAACCTTTGATAACAATACTCATTGTCTAGACGAATAAACCATGGCAACAAAGGAATATTGGGTAATTTGTTGATCCAAAGTTTGGAATGCTAAACTAAAAAATGACTCACGATATTGTCGTATATTTCTTGGCTCTTTTTCACTTGTTTCTCATGCACATACGAAATTCTTTGCTTTAATTCCCAAGATCAACGACATTATATAAATTCACCTAGGAATAATTTGATATTTAATTTTACTTCATCAAAATAGACTTTAAAGATTTTAAACCTACTTTAAATTCAAACTTTACATCTCGCTTATGCCAAAATTCATGTTAACATATATCATGAATATAATTAACTTTAATATTTGTAGTATCGAACTCGTCGTTTCTAAGCCTCATTTTGAATTATTTCTTGGAATTAACAACGACCACAAGTGTTTAAAAATAAAACAACTTTATTGTTTCCAATAAACAATAAAGTTGTTTTATTCTTTAAGCATTTGTGGTTGTTGTTAATTCCAAGAAATAATTAAACTTATTTGGTTGCAATCGGTAATAACAACTTCTCTTCAAAGTAAACTTATTCAAGTTTACTGTGATATCAAAAAGGGATTTCATTTTTAACAATACGTGTTCGGTAATGACATGCATATATTTCTTTATCAGAGCCTTCACCAAAGATGATGTTCTTGTCCAAATTGATCCCGCTTCTGACAGTGTTAGTTTCGTCGTTCTTGATCCCCAGACAGGATCAACAGTTCCAGCCAGTGGTGTACAAAATGCAATCAGTGGAGAATTTTTGTCCGACCTTCTCGACTTACAATTTACAGTGCCACTACCACAGGAAAATATTGATAACGCAATCAATGTCGTATTGAAAGATTTCCAAGCAGATCAGGTTTGTTTTTCCATGTACTTATAATTGCAAGCACGTCACCAGAGTCTTGGAAATCTTCTTATTAGGATGTTTTACCATGACCAGACATACTGTACAATCTATTGATGTTAATTAAAATTTTGAGTCGTAAAGGGCTCGTGTTATTACAATTTAAAAATGTACCGCCAATAGACTTCTCGTGGAAATTACAGTGCGTCTACAGTAAGTGGGGCCACTTAGAGAACACTAACCAATCACATTGCAGAACAAAAATAGAAAAAATCAACAAACGGCGCATTATAGCCAATCAGCATTGGGCCAAAAACAATTTTAACAAATAAAAGAATGTCAAACGGTAAAAATAGACTTGTAAAAGTAAACACTGCAGTTAATGGCTTCCTGAATCTTTCTTTTGATTGGACGAGCTTTAGTTTGATTAGATTTTTCTTTTTGTTCTGCACTGCGATTGGTCAGTGTTCTCTAAGTGGCCCCACTTACTGTAGACGCACTGTGATTGAATTGGTCATGCATAATGATAGGCTGAGCTAACTGAATTCTAAAATGCTCTATTTATATATAGTTTATGTTAACTGTGTAAATTATATAATTATATTTGTGACTCCTCATGCAGTTGTTGTCGAATTACGAAATGAAGGGTAATTAATTATTGTAAATTTTTGTGTAAGTTCTTTTGAGTACAGCGTGATTATTATTATTTAAAACGGCAATATAGAAAGTACACGTACAATTCGACTAAATTGTACTTCAAATTTTCTATGAATTTATTATAGTTCAACTATTTACTAATTTGCTATTTATGTAGTGGTCTTTCCGAGGTGCATCGTTTCGGCGGAACATGTCAGAGGAAATCAAAGCATTCTGTAACATGTCAACGTACCATCGTGATATCTGTAACATTTCAGAGTAAGTCCTTTAAACACAATTTGATTGTATATAGCATGATCGTATTGCAAGATATGTGTCATATGTAGGTTGTAGTCTATAGCGTAAACTTGCTCCAAGTGAGATCAGTTCAAAATTAAGGAAACGTAACTATTCTCATTACCGGCGGATTATGATGGATATGAGTTTCCAGGCCCTTTGATAAGTCGGGATTGATGAGGGCTGCAAGCTTGATTTAACTAATGTGGTGGTTATATCAACCAATTGCTTGGTAAAAGCGTTTCCGGTATTATTGTCGGGGATGGGTGCATGCCCATTGGTGCAGCCTGCGTGAATGAGGTGACCTGCAGACGGGAGAAAGAATCAGCTAAATGATTTTCTACCCCAGGTACATGCTTTGCTCGAAACAAAATATTAAATTTCATGTAGGCCAGCACCAGCCGGCGCACAAAACCCATTATCATTGGATCCCACAAAACCCATTATCATTTCAGAGTAAGTCCTTCAAGCACAATTTGATTGTATATCATGATCGTATTGCAAGATATTATTATTATTAATGGTTTATTATAAAAATCGTCGCGCTCGATGAAAGCGAATTGCGAAATTATTTACAAACTTTAGTTAAAAGTATTAAAAAGTACCTTGTGTTACTGGCATTATATTACAACAATAGTTTACTGATCTATGAATTAATATCGAAAGAACTTTTAAATTTACAAAATTTACAAAATTTATAAATTATGTGATTGAATACACATAGTAGGAAAAAGCTTTTCTTAAAGCGCTCCGTCTTACAAGGAAACAGTGTTAATCTATTTCCGTACCTTAAATTACAATTGTGTCCATTGGCCCGAGAAGGTGGTATTAAATGGTTAAGGCGTGAATCAGGCTGTCTGATTTTGTCAAAAGTTTTTATGCACAAACCATCACGTCTTGCGCGTAATGTCGAACATTTAGCTTGGTCCAGAGCAGCGTCATAGCTTAATGTGGGTAGATTATTCGCATTGTGCGCTTCTGGACCCGTTCAATTTTATCTGACAAGTTAATGGTCAATGATGAATGCCATACCGGACAGCAGTACTCAAGCAGGGATCTAATAAGTGCAAAATGTACTCGTAGTAAATGAAACGGTGAAACCCCACTGCGCTTGAGAACTCGTAAGATGTGTAGTCTTTTTGATGCTTTGGTTACTATCTCACTGATATGCAAATCCCACTTCAGATTATTCTGGATCGTTAAACCTAATACTTTGTGGGATTCTATTCTTTCAAGACTAATGGTTTCAACAACTAAGGTGGGTGGTGGCTGCTCAATATCTCGTCGAAAGGAGACAATCATCTCTTTACACTTTGTGGGGTTCAATTTCATATTATTGGTACTTGTCCAATTACCAATTGCGTCCAATTCGTTTTGTAGTATAGATACCTCCCTTGTTGGAACAATCTCAGATATCGTAACGTCGTCTACGTACTTCCAATTACTGGAACGCGGGGATACTATTTTCAAATCATTAATCATTATGACAAAAAGAATTGGACCCAATTTGGTACCCTGTGGGACCCCAGCACTAGTTGAAAGCCATCGGGACACGCACTGTCCCAGCTTAACACACTGGCGGCGATTTGAAAGGAAGCTACAAAACCAAGGGATTATTGAACGGCGCACTCCCAAATCGATCAATTTTGTTATAACAATATTGTGGTCTATTCTATCGAAAGCTTTGCTAAAGTCCAGAAAGCAAGCTCTAAGGTAATGACCTGGGTTGTCCATTTTAGAAAGCCAGTTGTGGATAAGATCTAGAAGGCAAAGGGTGGTAGATGTTCCCTTCAGGCTGCCATACTGACGATTATCGATTTGTCCACCTATGTCCTCAACCATCCAACTAACCACAAAGTCTTCGAGTACTTTCGATAACACAGGGGTAAGTGTTAACGAAAATTGCCCCCCCCCAAAAAAAAAACCCCAAAAAAACATAAATAAAACATTAAGGCTCAAAAGTAAGTGCCCTTTTTAAATGGCTGCCCCCGCCGCTTCATGTTGCTTCCGGCGCCCCTGCGTGCTTATGAGAATCCCTTATTTGGGTGTCTCATAAGCACGCTGAAATATGCTTGTATTAGCGTGCTTATGAGAATTCCTCTCATAAGCACGCTCATATATGCTTCTATTAGCGTGCTTATGAGAATCCCTTATTTTGGTGTCTCATAAGGGAAAGTACATTTATTATGCCGAGGGGGGGGATGAAGATGTTAAGGGGGGGCACCGAAATATTTTCTGGCATTAAAGGGGGGGGGCTCTGAAAGTTCTCGATATACTGAAGGGGGGCTCTAAACTTTTCAACGTTTTGGTCCAGCACTCTGGGGCCTGGAGTGTTCGCTCCCACCATAGTTAATAGAATAGATGGTTTGGAAACTCATTAGAATAACAATATAACTGATTACCCATGTTAGTGAATAACATTCATAGATCTGGTCTTTTACCTTCACATGAGACGTATTGTATTTTTGCCCCCACTAACCAATAGCAATGTTTTAGGAAAGTTGCCTATCTACGACTCAAACAATATGATAAATTGAAAATTGCGGTGAAAGAATATATTTATGAATAAATGTTGACTAACATAGATAATGAGTTATATTGCTATTCTAATGATTTCCAAACTGTCTCTACTATATTAATTAATTGACATTGGGGGAGCTCCACGTGGAATACGTAAAAGAAGGCTGCAACACACCTGTCAAAAATGCATGCAAAAGCACCAATGTGCTTCAACTTCTGAAATTTTCATTCTGTTTCTACCAAATTTTCCATGAATATAGAACATATCGTTCTTACAAATCGAGTTTTTTTTGTTTTTGGAATTGTTAATTTTGGCGGGTAAATTATGTCACAAAGTGGCGCCAAAAAATTTAAATAAGCTATTGGTGATTTTACTGAATCCATTTGTAGAGTGGACCAAGGGTACTTTAATTAATTAAACTGAAATCTGTTTCTAAATACAACCATTTTATGGGAAGATATAGCGATACAAGTGTCGAAAAATCGGCCATATTGTTACTAAAAATAGAACAAAATGGCGGATTTTTAGAAAATTAAGTCATTATATCTTCGCAAGGAATGGTTGTCAGGGACATAGCAACTGGGGGTTGTGGGAGGAGGGTGTAAGGTTCCCCCCTACTGTGAAAAAAATCTGGCAAAAGACTAGTCAGACTAATACAAAATAAACAGTAAACAACAATTACCTTTTACATACCATACATAAAACGGAGTTTTCATCCTTTCTAGAAACTCACTTCCTGAACTTTTGAGCGCAAATATATTAAATGTAAACAGGGTGAAATTTAAATGTATTAAAAATGTATATCATATTCACGGCTGTTAATACCATTAATATATCGCGGGCACAATACAAAACACGAGAATTTTAAAATGTTTTGATTTGCAAATAAATAAATAATATTTGATGTCGTAAAAATTTTAAAATTTAACTCAACACAAACTGGTAAGTTCATGACATGTATAATTTACTTATATGTTGCTATATTGCAATTCTGTACCCTACTCCTTTGAAAATTGTTGGCAATTGCATATGATGTGGTCATGTATTATAGTTGTGTCATGAATTTAATAATACTCCAATAGCTTCGAAATAGACAATGGATGAAAAAAGTCATGAATATTGAGCATATTTACCCTTTAAACACTTGATCGTCATGTGCATACAGTGTGTTGTTTGTTTCCAAAACCCCCTCAAGCAGACTTCAACTTTTCTTGTCGGGTTGTATATTTTGCTTCATACACTACATGTGTGTGTGTTTGTGGGAACACTCATGTTTGGATGCTTGGCATAGGTTAATGGTAATTTCATTGTAGTCATCAGGGATACTGAGTTGTATATTCCTGAAATTACCTCTAAACACCTAAAACAGCATTCCCTAAAATTTTAATTGTTTTCTTAAATAACCCTATATCGCTCAAACCTGCATGCGCATCGCTTAAAAATTGCAGATTTTGCTTAAATCACCTAAAATTGCTTAAACTCACATTATCTCATTATCACCCCAGAATAGGGCTAGCTACTGTTGCCATTACTTTTTAGTCTCCAATACTTCAGCGAGTCATGCTTTGGAAATGACAATATTTTTTTATTACCCAACCCTTGAGTTGTTTTGTTTTTCATTTACCCAACCTTTTACTTACTCAAAATTTAGCTTACCCAACCCTTTTCTCTTCGGTGCCACCCCCCACTATAAATAATGACCGGTCCCTTTTGAGAATCCCTCTCATATTAAGCACGCTCATATATGCTTGAAATATGCTTGTATTAGCGTGCTTATGAGAATCCCTTATTTTGGTGTCTCATAAGCACGCTCATATATGCTTGTATTTGCGTTCTTATGAGAATCCCTCTCATAAGCACGCTGAAATATGCTTGTATTAGCGTGCTTATGAGAATCCCTTATTTGGGTGTCTCATAAGCACGCTGAAATATGCTTGTATTAGCGTGCTTATGAGAATCCCTTATTTGGGTGTCTCATAAGCACGCTGAAATATGCTTGTATTAGACTTATTAGCGTGCTTATGAGAATCCCTTATTTGGGTGTCTCATAAGCACGCTGAAATATGCTTGTATTAGCATGCTTATGAGAATCCCTCTCATAAGCACGCTCATATATGCTTGTATTAGCGTGCTTATGAGAATCCCTTATTTGGTGTCTCATAAGCTCGCTCATATATGCTTGTATTAGCGTGCTTATGAGAATCCCTCTCATAAGCGCGCACATATATGCTTGTATTAGCGCGCTTATGCAGAGAACACCTTATTTCGACCATACGGCTCGGCTGACATATTTGCGCAATCATAAATCGCGGTGGCTGTGAATAAAACCCCCCAAATACGGATTTTAGTAGCACGGATGTCAATTTCACAATACATTTTATTATGGTTCTTGAGTCAATCTCGTTCCCAGAGTATGCCTGTTCGCGGGTTAGGTAGTGGCATGACCTAACCCGCGAACAGGCATACTCTGAGAACGAGATTGTTCTTGAGTAGGCCTCCATTAAGGCCATTTTCCATTGAAGTCGCTTTTCCCGCGCGGGTGGAGCGTTCATTGTTTTTGAAGCCCGTCACGCCCGCGTGTGGCAAGAGGTTGTTGCTCGCCCAAAGGTTGTTGCCCTCGGCTTCGTCTCGGACAACAACGGCGGTCTCGCGGGGCCACAAAACACACTGTTTCCCTCGGTCTCAGTAAACAAGTGATAATTGTTATATAGTTAGTGTCAAAGTTCAATTTTTCTGTTTGCCGATTGGTCAAAACCGTGTCACGTGCCGGTCCACAAAACGTCTTGTTCGGCAACCGGTCCGCAATCAAACATTTATTCACCGGTCAATAATAAAATGGGTGCAATACGCATGCGTGTCAACCATGAAGTTCCAAAGTTCATTTTTTAAACTTTTTACTAAACATTTACGGCGTTCCATTTATCTAGTTTTGGTTTCAAATTAAGTTCACTCCAATAACCGGTGAATTATTCATACTTTTACACTTATATACTATATAACAAAACACTTATTTACTGAGACCTCGGGAAAGCAGTGTGTTTTGTGGCCCTTCGACCGCCATTGTTGGGCAACAACGGCGGTCTCGGGTCCACAAAATACACTGTTTCCCTCCAGGGCCGTAGCAACCGGGGGGGCTGGGGGGCTGCAGCCCCCCAATAATTTGCTAATAATCATTCTTTTTTCAAAATCATGCAAACTTTATCATTTAATCTGTGACAAACTGCAAAGAATGAAGATATTACTCATACTCCAGATCGTTCCTCGCGTAGAAATTTTAGCTGAATTTCTGTCGCGCATTTTCAAGAAAATCCCACAAAATCTGCACATTTTTGATGAACTAATAATTTATTTTGTCTTTTGCGTGTTGGGTCTTGCGAAAGAAAACTCTGAAAATGCCATTTCAGACCATCTAGAGACTCCAGATTTTCGAAATTTTCTCAAATGTTCTGCCTTCATTTCCGCGCAACTGCCATTTACGACGAAAATTCCCGCCGCGCATTTATAATACAACAGTCTGGCCCATACTTTCCTGTAAATTTCGACATACTAAAACGCTGTTTTCTGACTATCAGAATTCTGTTAAATCTTCCCCCAAAGTCCAGGAAATGGCATTTTAGAGACTCTAAATTTAAAAATTCCCTCGGGCCTTCGGCCCTCGCTTTCAGCCCCCCCAATCGAAAAGAGCTTCCTACGGCCCTGCCCTCGGTCTCAGTAAATAAGTGATAAACATATTACTAATACAAAAATTTCATCACAGTTTGAAAGAGCGTCACAAAATTAGTAATATTCGTTGCGAATTGTTGTAAAATGCGGATAATATAGCCTTGCAAAGTTTTCCGTTTTTCATTCATTCGGGTGTTGGGACATCAATTTCCCATTTGTAATACAAAATGACTGAAAATTGCAAATTTTGCTGAAGGCTATATTATCCGCATTTTACAACATTTCGCAACGAAACTTTGGAATATTACCAATTTTGTGATGCTCTTTCAAGCTGTGATGAAATTTTTGTTTAGATCAATATTTATTCTATAATGCAAATGGTCCGATAGTGACCAAGCAGAATTCAGTTTAATTAATTGGTTGAGAATGAAAATAAAATTCAAAAAATCTCATCCGTCCATACCAACCAACAAGTTAATATTCCATCCTTTTCAAAATGCACAAGTCAACTAACAGCCTGAACAGCGTCGTCTCACTTTTGATCAATCGTAACTTCTTTATACTTGAAATTTACTGTGTTGGTGTAATGCCAGGTGAATAAGATGCTTGTGTGATGTTACTCTGAGGCTTGAAAAATATGCCTGGCCACGGTGGGATTCGAACCTACGACCTTTGGAATACTAGCCCAATGCTCTGTGGATATACACTCAGAGTAACATCACACAAGCATTCTTTATACTTGCAGCCATGTAGTCAAATCAAATGCTATCAAACCATTTCTAGAAGGTGTGCCGGAAAAATTATCGAGACCTCTTTTGTTGGCTGGGAAGCTGTAACTAACGATAGACCTCCAACTGTGCGCTTTTGTTGTAAAATATTTCTGCGGATAAAAATATACCACAACATTGAATTAAGTAAGATAGTTGGGGCATTCCACAGCCAGTAAAGGCAAAACTCGACTGCTTTCATTTGCCAAAAAATTGGGGATGTAGAAGCAATAAGATTTTGAAAACGACAAGACATTCTGAAGAAACACGGAAGAGGTAATTTAGCTTGTCATTCCCAGTCGGATTTTGCTACGTGCAAGATGTCAGGTACACGAAAACGAGGCTCGATAGCCAAAGTGACTTACTTTCCGGAAGGGTGTATTGGGTTTGCGTCTCTCGCATGGCCATGACGTTGTAGCATCCCAAAGGCATTTCTTTATGGTGGATGATATGGTCGTCGGAGAAAGCGTATCCAATAATCCCAGTTTGTTCCGTAACTTCCGTTTCTTTGCGATCACTTTCCCGTATGTTATTTGCTGCTTCGCGAGCCACGTTTTCACACTGGTGCCAGGGACGCTGGAAATGGGGGGGGGGGCAGGGGGGGCAGCCGCCTCCGTTGCCCTTTACCAGGAGGGCCAAGGGGGGCAAAGGTGCCCTTTCAATTTAAAGGATTGTCTTGGCGAAATAGCGAATTGTCAGAAATGTTAGTGCAATTCTTTTACGAATTTGCTTCAGAAAACGGAAGAAATGCAGTCATCGAGCTTCAAGAATAGCACAATCGCCTGGCGGAGAACCCCCTCACACCCCAATCATCCAATAAATAGAAAACATGATTAGGCGAAGTTCAACTCCCGATGTTTTGCAAACATCTCTTAGTATATATCAATTCAAAAGTGCCCTTTCACGAAAATCTGCCCCCCCCCCCTTGCCTTCACATCGTTCCGGCGTCCCTGACTGGTGCTTTTGTTCGTTCTCGGTTGTTCTGCGCTTTTTGCTACAAGACGATTCTGGTATTTTGACATCTAAGATGCAGGGGCGCCGGAGCCATGGGGCAGCGGGGGCAACTGCCCCCGCTGCCCAAACAGTACAAAGGCAGCACGGGGGCAGCAGGTTGCCCTTTTTACCGGAACTGCAGTTCGAAATTCGTGCATTATTCACAGAAATTGGAATTAATAACTATTTTTAAGCAATGTTTAAGCAATCTTTGCTTAATTTTTAACCAGTTGTAGTAAAATTAGTGCTAAATCAGGCAATATACGTCCGTTTACTGATTTTATTTTGCGCCCTTAGCATGATGCAACGAATAAAATTGTTCAAAATTAATGTCGAAGTTTGCCGACCCATAATAGCCACAAGTAATCGAGTATCCATAGCCTACAGTAAATTTTGGGCAAATATTGCCGCCCACAAAAATTGATTGGGAAGCAAGTGCCCTTTTAAAATGGCTGCCCCCGCCGCTTCACATTGCTTCCGGCGCCCCTGCTAAGATGTCCGTTCAAAACAGTTCCATGTCCACTTTACAGTTTGTGTTCGCTTTTTTTATTATTATTATTATTAACATGTGCATGCAAGATAAGGTGTACAGTGTTTGTGTGGAACAAATCCCTCTTTGCCTTTGTCCAACAATAGTGCATTATCTACTTTACTTCCTTCGTACCAACTGTAAACTCCACCTTTGGATACTAGTCTCGTCGTATAAAAGACTGCATTTCCATCTTTACGATTTTTAAAATATCGTGTTCCGCAAATGTCTACGTATACATATTTGGTCTTAGTCTTGCGTACTAATAGCTTTACTTCGATTGCCAAAAAAATTTCGGTCAGTGTACCATTTTAGAGGTCCAAAATTTTTTCGTACATTCCATAATTTTCCGGAACATCAAACAAAGTTTCCACAAATCACAAAATTGACCACAAAATTTACACAATTCCCCACAAAATTGACAGAATTTGTCCCATTTATTTTTTTAATAAGCCAATATTGCATTGGAGCATCTCAACATCCACAAGGAAAACGAGTAAATGAGAAGACTGTTTTGGGGTTAGATTTTCCTTAATTTGGTTACTGCACATTTGAGTTTTAAGAACTGCACAAATGGGTTTAGAACTGCACATTTTGTGTAGAACTGCACATTTTGTGTAGAACTGCATGTTAAAATAAACCTTGACTTCGATGACATCCAGAGGTAGGTTAGGTTAGGTTAGGTTAGGTTAGGTTAGGTTAGGTTAGGTTAGGTTAGGTTAGGTTAGGTTAGGTTAGGTTAGCAAGACTCTTGCAAGACTAGCAAATCATCTCGATCAAGTACATGGTATCCAATGGGACAATATATTTAAAATTTTGTATTTCCATGTTAATTGTTCTTATTAAATTACAATAAATTATGCATGCATCCAAGCTGACCAAGCATAACAGAATATTTTGCTCTAAAATCGGTAGTAGTACGATTTCGTATTTTAAATCCCTTTTTCGCCCTTTTCAGGAAGTTAGTAGTAATTACTGTAAATGTCCTGGAATGCCACGGAAAGTTTGCGAAATTTACGTGGGCGAAGTCCGAGGGAATTCCACATACCTCTCGAGAAAGAGTTTTATTGATTATTAGTAATTTCCCGACATATATCATGGTATTAGTTTGTCCCCGAGCCAGCGCCGTTCCGGGCGCACGTTAGCCCGGGGCGAGGGTACTAATTCAGCCCGGTTATTTACACCCGGGGAAAGGAGTAAAGTATATTTTCTATTCTGTGGATTAATCGTGTACGATTCGTTGTTTTCTGGCGTATGCCGCATGTCATCCATTGAGTAAACACGCGTAAGCTGGCTACATTTGAAATTTATTTTTAACGAAACGGCAATGAATTATGGCGCCAACACTCATGTTAATACACCAGAATACGAATCGCACACGACAAACACATACCCTCGCCTATATTTTCCAAACATTAAATTATGGAATAAAAATTATGGAATAAATTGGACATGGCCAACACTGAACGCAGGCTCGCGTTCAAGTGTTGCCATAACAACACGATGTTTTTAAATTTTAAATTTTTTTATACTTTTTTGTACAAATCGGCAAAATAGTTGAAAGGTTAGTACTTTCAGCTATACAACAATGAATTTCCGAAATATATACTGTCAGTAGGTATCTTTAATCTTAATGTACGCTTAACTTTGAATTAGCTTAAAGGGATACGGCAATATATTTTTTTATTATTTCATTTTAAAGAACTTTTAAAATTATATGTAAATCTCTTTTACCGATTTTGCGTAACTTTATTATTTCTTGAGATATTTGAACAGAAAAAATCACAAATCAGCGAGCTTTCCGCCATCTTGGATTTTGGCGGATATGGTGACCATGCATGCATATGTGACATCATAAGCAGGGTCACGCAAAAATTTTATCCATAGAGCAATTGGTTATTATGAGCCCAAAATCATATACTTCAGTAACTATTTGAAATAAAAACTGTCTGACGACTTTTCAAACAAGACTTAATGTTATTTGGTCATTTAGATGTAGTTTTATATGGCTAACCCTGCTTATGACGTCACTACAATAACCGATAATGAGATAAAAATGAATCCAAGATGGCGGACAGCAAATTACTTTAAGTCAAAATATTTCAAGAAATAATAAAGTTACGCAAATCGGTGAAGGAGATTAACATATAATTTTAAAAGTTCTTTAAAATGAAGTAATAAAAATATATATTGCCATATACCTTTAAACACGGGTTAGCACGCTCTTTCTAGCTCATTTCAGTAACGCTAACTCAAAATAATACGCGTCAAATCAATTGTCAGTCGAACCCCTGATCAATTATAAAGTCAATCTTGATCAATTATAAAGTCAATCTGTCTGCCTCGTACCCAGGCGCTATGTGTTGTTCTATGACTTGCGCGGCCTTTGCATGACGTAAACAAACCAAAGTGCCTGGGTACGAGGCAGTCAATCAGTTATTAATTATTACTAAGCTAATGTAAGTTTCGTCATGAGCCCTGGAGCATTTTTAAATGACCTGCAAATATCAAAATGTTACATTTTTAACAGAAATTAAATCCGAAATAGCGAAATAGAAAGCAATCCTCTCTAGCTTGCTTGATTATTACCATATGAAATTGAAGGATGAGAAAGTCTTCTTGACTCCCTCCCCTGTCAGGATGCTTTTTAAGAGCCAACTTGCGGAAAGCTCTATTAATATCTGCGTTTGAGGCAGACTTTTTTACGCCCAAGTGTTGATAGGAATTTTCCAGAGCATCTTCTTTTGGTATCCCAAACATCTTTTGTTTTATCCAGTTAGCGAGATACTTCATCCCAGTATAAGAAATCAATGCACCAACTGGGGCTCCTATCCCTGCCCCAACAGGACCCCCGATTGCTCCTCCAATCACAGCTCCAAAATAACCTCCTGCAACACCGGCTGCCCTTGGAAGTAAATCCAGCAAGTTTTTTATGCATTGCTCTCCTGATATTTCACCATTCCACCAACGCTGGATATTATTATAAATACCAAGGCCTATGTTTGCTATTTGTTCTGCTAGCTGTACAGAAATTTGTTCTTGCGGCGTTATTAATTCTAGGAATTTATGAAACATGTTAAATAGAGAAAATTTTGATTCCACAAGAGTGATCACATGGCGTTCTTGTTTTGCATCCACGACACTTATTTTCTCTATAAAATCAATAAAAAATAATATTATTAAGAGTTTACCTTGATGACATTGGCGGGAAAAATGTCTTGCTTTTAGAAAAACGTGACAATATTAAATAAATCATTTGGATTTTTCTATTATATTTGTTTTCTGTTATTTCTAATGCGTTTAAATTCATTTTTTGTTGATTCTTTACAATTTGAGTTTTTTAACGTCTGTTGACTACTTTCCAGGCAGTACCAGGACTATATCTTTTTAATTTTAATTTTTCTTTATACAAATTTAATTGTATAGATTTAAATAATATAAGGTTTTTGATTTGTGGAAACACCATGTATATTCATTATCGCATGATTGGGGCGAGTCTGAGCGAGCCCCGTAGTTTCGTGACTCACCGAGCTCAAGCGAAATGCTGCAGTGATATGTTAAACCCATTCTCGTACCCAGAGCCCTTCTTACGCACAGGCTCTAGGCACAAGAATGGGTTAAACCTCATCGGCTTTTTGCCTCATCTTATAATACGATATATAGTTTTCAATTAACAAACGACCCGGAACTTCTCTCAACAGCAAGTAAATAATATATTGTTGCATGCCATCGTAAATTTTTCTTACATTTCTGTAAAAGAAATTAAGAAAAACAAAATGGGCAAACTGATCGAACAAATAGCAAATGGAAATTCTGATGAATAATATAAGTGTATAACAAAAGAAATAGGACTAAAGATGTGTCTTTTGTTTGAAAATTTGTAGTGTGCGCATGTCAACAACCGTACTTACATAGGCGTACGGGAGGGAAATAATTAGGGGGGGGGGCGGAAGCAAATTTATCTGACTTTTCCCCCATCGTGCCCAATTTTAAAAAGTTCCGTGTAAACTTTGTAAGGGGGGAGGTTCGACGAAAATTTTTTTTCTAATCTGTTAAAATTCCTCGTTACTTTTAGTACATAATTCTTATGTTTTGCACGTCGTTTACAAATCAAATTGCCCATGTACCATTATTGTAATTTCACCATGCAAAAATACAAAGAATCTATAGTAGTATAGATTTAGATAATTAATCACACAGTATGATGGCATTTTTTCTGGATTCTTTCTTATACATTTTTGCAGTAGTTTTATTAAAGCATGCATACTTTGAATGATTGAAGGTGAGTCAAAGTATAACTACAGAAAGTCTCTGAAGGAAATTCATTAGTACTTGAAAATGCAATACAGAATTATGATTTTCCGGCTGACTGAAAGCTGTGGGCTACATTTTGTACTAGGACTATATCATCCTTACTATTTTTGTATCCTTTTGATTAGGTTAGAGAATAGAGATTTACAGTAAAATAACAACTTACCAGTGAAATCAGTTATCATCAGTGCATTAAACAGCACATAAAGACGAAAGGGGTATGCAAATACCATGCTGGCAAGAACCTTTTAATTTGATAGAATCTGTAACAGGAAACCACTTAACCACGTTGTTGTGTAAGTTGACTACAGTACCAATTGTACTTCATATACAGAGCCAAAAGCCTCGAGAAAATAGGACAGCTGTAAGACTCCTGAGAAGCTGAGCTGTAAGACTCCGAAAGCTCTATGAGATAGATGTTAGAATAAGGTTGATCAACTGCATTGTATCGAAGCGTACATGCACATGACACTCACAGCTTACCGCCAATATCACGTAATTAATTATACCTGTAACGTTGCAAAAGCATTGCTGGACAAAATTGCTGCAGCTTCCAAAAAAAAGGTAACAATTTCCGCACGTAATACAAATATACTGAAAATATGCAAACTTTGCAAGGCTATATTTTCCAAACTTTACAACATTTCGCAACCAAATTTTGCAATTTTACTAATTTTAATAAGTTTTTTACGGGAATTTACATTTTATTGCCTAGATCAAAAATTTGTCTAAGATGCAAGTTAGTCGATTAGAATCACATCAATTCCATTTATGTAGCCAGCAAGGTGCTTTCATTAGCTATTTAAGAAATTCGAGTCCGGGTTATGTAAGAAGTGCAAAAAAAAAGTCACGTCCGTTTTTGGTTTCGCTTTTGTATTTGCCATTTTTTGACAGGTCACAGGTGATCATATTCTCGAACTGATCTGAATTTTGGAATATAACTGATAACTATAAAGATGTGTCTGAATTCTTATAATATATGACTGCATTTGGATTGTATTCTCACCAAAACATCAGCGGCAAAGAAAAAGTAAAAACGTTGCGTTCTAATGTGAACGTTGGTCGTTGCCTAATACAGTAATAGTCGTCGACTCGTCGTTGCTTAATTCATCAGCTATCAAGATGAGTTATACAGTATGAATTTCACATCGCTGAAGACATCAAAACTATATTTTAACCCAACCTCACCTGAAATATAAAAAGTCGATATTTCGAGCTTTAGTTCCGCCTTCTGGTTTAATACGTTTGCTTCGTGTATACTCAGTTGTTTCTTGAACTGACTGTAGCTTGAAATAAGTCAAATAAGCTGCACAAACAGAATACGTCATAAATCCCTTCTTGCAACCGGAAGCTTCGTTCTCGTGAATTTTGAGCGAATGGCCATATATATTTATTATATAAACACTAGTGTCATATAGAGTACTTGGCCACTGAGAAAAATGTATTTATAAAAGCTAGGGTACAGTCTGTATGCAAACAAAGCTTTGGTTACATTTCGGTATCAAAATATTGAACTTTGTTCGACAACTATTTGAATATTTTCATGCTTCTACAGAAAAATAAATTATCAAGATACATCAATAAGGCTTTGAAAGAACATAAAATGAAATAAAAACTCTTATCTGCGCATGCGCAGACCGGACTGTACCCCATCTTTAATGAAAAATAACTAAAAGTGATTTTCAACCAGCCTAGCCAGCCACTCCTTGCGTTATCAACAATATAGTATTGTAATTATCAACCGTTATCAGCAATAAGTTATTGGGTTGTAACCCTAACCCCCACCCTAACCTCTAACCCCCACCCCCTAACTTCTAACCCCCACTCCCTAACCCTAACCCTAACCCTGGAGTTGCTGGGTTCAGAGCCGACTGACAAGCAACGAAGTCCCTGAAAATTTATTGATACAAGATTGTTTAACAGAGAATATGAATCCTATACCCACGTGCCTGATAATATGCAATAAATAAATTGCAATATATACTGTACGTAAACACCGCTTCTCAAGTTTTACAATTATGACGAGCATGAACTAGAATCACCAAACAGAATTCAGTTTGGTTTATAGAATGAAAATAAAATTTTAAAAAACCCATTCGTCCATACCAATCAACAAGTTAACATTCCATCCTTTTCAAAATGCACAAGTCAAACAGCGTCATCTTTTGGCGTATAACTTCTACTTGCAGCCATATATAATAGTCTAATTAAATGCTGTCAAACCATTTCTAGAAGGTGTGCCGGAAAATTATCGAGGCCTCTTTTGTTGGCTGGGAAGCTAGTGTAACTAACGATATACCTCCAACTGTGCGCTTTTGTTGTGAAGTATTTCTGCGGATAAAAATATACCACAACATTGCATTAAGTAAGATAATTGGGGCATTCCACAGCCAGTAAAGGCAAAACAAGACTGCTTTCATTTGCCAAAAAATTGGGGATGTAGACTAAGCAATAAGATTTTGACAACGACAAGACATTCTGAAGAAACGCAGAAGAGGTCCTTTTAGCTTGTCATTCCAAGTCGGATTTTTCCATGTGCAAGTCAGCCATGACGTAAAGGTATGGCGCCTTTATGTTTATATTTTGTTTCATAAATTAACCGTGCTTGGCGCTAAATGTTTATGTCGTCATGACTAATAGACTAGTCATCTGAAACAAAACGTGAATTAAGGTATTAATCATCGGTTTTACGATGATTCGTTTGAACGAAATTGGGGAAAGCCAAGTGAGATATTGTTCGTCTGATAATTGTTCTGTGTAATTGAAAAGCGTTGAACTAACACGACATTGGCTTAGACAAATTCAACTAGTAGTTGTGGTGAGTTTCTTGTCTTCATACACGATTACGAATGTGCGTTATATGATAATTCGCCTGGACAGATGCTGAGATATCTATGACTCTGTGTATATGACCCGAATATATATAATTTAATTCTTAGCTACAAGCAGCCGCTATATACTATATATCATCGCAATTCGCAATTCCTTATTCATTAAGTCCGCTGAGCCGCTTTGCAGGAACGCATTATTGAGCTTTGTGATAGGTTGCCAAAATTAATTTCGCCGATCAATTACTCGTATATGGTGTAAAACTGACTCGCGGGCTGACCGCTTATCTCTATGATACGATAATATCTGTCTGTAGATGTCTGGGAAAAATTCAAAGAATGATATGAGTGTTACCTCAACCGTTACCTCACTCGAAATATTGTTTCTGAATTTCTATTGAAGATGATTTTAAATATATTTGAATATCGAGATTTTTGGGCCGTAGGTCCGATTTCGCAGATCCTGGTTAGATCTTAAAAGTGTATGTAATCTAAAAAGTGTATATATACAGTCCGCTCAAAGTTAGACCATCTCCAATTAAAATCCTTCATCTTCATGGAAAAGGTTAAACTACAATACTTTTTGTTTGGTGGGCAATATTCTATCTTTCTTCATTTGGCAACCCGTTTCGATTCTCAAATTCGAAATTTTATCAGTGAAAATAATGCAGCCAAACTGATCTGCATGATCATAATCGTCTGAGCTTTGCGAAATACAATAAGGAAAGAAAGGTATATGATGGCGAAACTGTCTTGCCGCAATAAGGAAAATTTCAAAACGAAGTCGCCCCGAGATAGCCAAGCTGCAGATCAGTGATTCGAATGTCCCGCTAACAGCATGGAATCATGCACCGGCGAAATAACTAGCCAATGTGCGTTGGAGTCATGTCAATATTTTTGCTTAATAACTTTAGGTATCGTAAATTGGTTAAAACAACCAACAAATCAGATTGAAAGTGAATCAGGTTAACCAATTCAGGTCTGACGAAAGCCAAAATCCGCCATTTTTGAGATACCGTTTGCCCTCGTGAAAGATTCTAGACAATTCAAAAAACGTGAATTGCGACTTTTAAAAGTTGTAATTGTAAATTTACCATCATACAAACAACTATAAGTATAATACTAAAAAGTTGTATTTCGTGGTGCGGAGACTCTCAAACGTGGGACTGAGGCAGTATACCCCCAAAATGGCGGGGAAATCGGCCGCGAGGAAGGCTAATTCATAGGTTGTTTTGACCATTTTGTGTTTTCACAGTGTATTTTATTCGATTCATAACTCTATTAAGTTTTTTCAATAAGAATATTTTCGGACGAGAGTTGTAAGTGGTGCTCAAGTTGGGAAGTGCTACAGTTTCAATACAATTAGGAAGAAACTTATTTAAACGACATTTCCGATTGTCTTTTTATTTTCCTCCAAAAAGAAGACTATACACTACGTATAATAAAAAGAATTAATTGATTATTTTAGTTACTCTGATAAGTGTAAGTTGACTATCATTTACCGCACGACAGCGTTTTAGTGAAATTCCATCAGTACACCCTTCCTGGGAGCATAATGCCTTGGTTTTAAAAACTTTTATTCAACGTATAACTGCTTGCAATGACGATAGCGATTGACGTAGTTTCCGCAAGAGTGTCCAGCATTGTATTTATATTTTCTAGCACGACGGATGACGTAAATGTAAAGCAGTCTGCCATTGTGGTGTGCTTGAATGCAAGCCTGGTTGCCTGTCATATTGCTGTGGTTTATCTCGCTCTTCACCAGTACTCTAGCGGTCATCACTTGTATCTACAGACATTTAGATCACGGCAAATACAGGTTGGTAAACCTTGTAGCGATATTTAGTTCATTAAATCGTTATTTGTATTGTTTATTATGATCATTTTTGATTGGTTAGTTAGTTAGTTAGTTAGTTAGTTAGTTAGTTAGTTAGTTAGTTAGTTAGTTAGTTAGTTAGTTAGTAGCGGTTAGTTAGTTAGTAGCGGTTAGTTAGTTAGTAGCGGTTAGTTAGTTAGTAGCGGTTAGTTAGTTAGTTAGTTAGTTAGTTAGTTAGTTAGTTAGTTAGTTAGTTAGTTAGTTAGTTAGTTAGTTAGTTAGTTAGTTAGTTAGTTAGTTAGTTAGTTAGTTAGTTAGTTAGTTAATCAGTTAGTTAGTTAATCAGTTAGTTAGTTTGTTAGTTAGTTAGTTTGTTAGTTAGTTAGTTTGT